ATATATTAGTCTTATGCATGATAACTAGAACATTGCGACTTTCCTTTTATTAATTCAATTATTTTATGTATTGAATGGCGAAATAACCTATTGGTGGGCTCGTCGAATAGGCGTACTTAGAATACATTGGACAATTTGAACTATATTTATTATAATTGATTGAGCAACGTTTATGACACCGTGCTAACTCCTTGAGTTGCTTTGGAGGTAGCTTCGGCGTGCTAAAACCCTAAGCCGTTCAACTTTACCTCAGGCAAAGCCACTGCAAAAGCATAAGTTTCAAATGATCGAAGTTATGACAAAGATATATGCTTGTAGTGTCTATCTACTTGGATTTTCATCCGAACTATTGTCCTAATGTAATGAGCATATAATATATTTACATAGTTGCGTTTAGTCTTTTATATAGTACGCATAATTCATACCACTTATGGTTATTTACAGGTATTGAACCATCCGACATGACACCAGAGATATGGGATTATCTATTCTTCAAAGATACACCGTTCCCGAAGTCAGCTAGAGTTTCTAAAGCTACCTTTGACATATTGAAGCGAGAGTTCGAGTTTTGGTATCCTCTGGATGTTCGTTGCTCTGGCAAGGATCTGGTTCCCAGTCACCTTTCGTACTTAATCTTCAATCACACGGCCATATGGGAACAAGAACCAGAGAAATGGGTCCGTGGTGTACGGGCAAACGGTCACTTGCTTCTCAACAGTGAGAAGATGTCTAAGTCAACTGGTAACTTTCTTACGCTGATCGACGCCATCAACATGTTTGGCGCCGACGGCATGAGGCTCACGCTTGCCGATGCTGGAGATGGTGTGGAAGATGCCAACTTTGTAATGAATATGGCAGATGCCGGCATCCTTAGACTTTTCACTTTTCTCGAGTGGGTGAAAGAAATTATCGAAGTTCAAAAGAAGCTCAGAACGGGGCCGTTAAATACATTTGCGGACAAATCATTTGCGAATCAGATAAATTTTCATATTATAGAAACCAAGAAAAATTATGATGCATTCTTATTTAAAGAAGCATTGCGTACTGGTTTTTTTGAGTTTCAAACTGCTAGGGATGAATATCGGGAGCTTTGTCTCCTAGATGGGATGCACTACGATTTGGTAATGCGATTTATTGAGGTACAAGTTCTTATGTTGTCCCCTATCTGTCCTCACATCTCAGAACATATATGGATGAAACATCTGAAAAATAAGGAAAGCATAATGTTCGCTCGGTGGCCTTCCGCCGAACCTGTTGACGAGAAACTACTGAAGTCATCTGAATACCTTCGTGAAGTCTCTCATGAACTCCGCGTACGCCTAAAGGCTTTTCTTGCAGCAGCTACTAAAAGAAAAAAGGACGTTTCCGGTGGTTCTATCCCTAAAGTGATCGAGGGTAATATCTGGGTGGCACGGACATTCCCACCTTGGCAGTCGGTGATTCTGAGCACCATGGCCGACCTCTTTAATAAGTATCATGTGTTGCCGGACAACAAGGTGATCTCTAATGAACTTAAGGATAAGCCTGAGCTAAAAAAATATATGAAGAAAGTGATGCCTTTCGCTCAAATGGTGCGCGAGAAGGTAGACAAATTGGGAATAAAGGCATTGCAGCTCACAGTGGACTTCAACGAGGTTGATATATTAAAAGAGAATCTCGCTTATCTCGTAAGTACCCTAGATGTCGTTTCCCTAAACATCGACTATAACGACACTGTAGAAGACAAGATTAAAGAGGAGTGTTGCCCTGGTGTGCCATTTGTCGTCTTTCAAGAACTTCGGTCTTTTAATCTGACCTGCCTTAATCAACAACATCAGACGGCTGCCTTCGAGGCCGTTATACCAGTTTTGCCCAACGACACCTGCCGGAAGCTTAGAGAACGTATTCGAAAAGAAAATCGCCATGTGAAGGAGAGCCAGAAGGTAAATCTAACTTTAGCGTATGATCAACCATCTAATCGTTACTTTATTGAAAATTATGCTAACAGTTTTTTAGCTAACTTGCAGCGCATTATAATTTTATTAACGATAAAAAATAATTTTCTGACAGGTCAGACCAAAGAAAGCCACTACTACTGTTTCATTTTATTTGCAGATACGCTTATTCCGTTATGAAGACCCTTTTGGCGGTCCACGGAAAATTCCAACAATGGACAACCATCTTGAAGGAAAAATTGAAATCCCAGAGGACTGTTGCTTAGATGTAGATTTCAATAGTAATTCATTGATGCTTATTAACGGCTCAGACAAGATAAATTTGGGTGACCAAATAACCTACGTGGTCGGATAGAGCTATTTGTCCAGCCCAACAATAGGTACGTACCGATAAACGTTATGGTGCGAATAAGAAGAGCCCGTGAGCCCACCAATGAAGCGCTTTCATAACATAAATGTTGGCAGGAATAAAAGTGTCCAACTGAGCAAAAATTGCCTTTTTTTGTAGTGTGTGTATGTTAAAAAAGACAAAAACTGTCGAATCGAATTACAGGTTAAGAATATGTCTTATTGAGCATATCTTTGTTTTAGAGTTGCGCTTATGCTATGCGGATCAGTGGTAAAGGATATATATATATATGCATACATTGTCGAATTCTAAATCGAAAGAAGGTATTTATTGGCCTCTTCGTTTAATACCTCAATTTGTCTATAGAAAATGCGGTTCTTTAAAGTGACGGAAGTGCATATATATCGGTGTTGTCTTAGCCAAATATTTGCATTTGAAATGTACCTCCGCAGTAAAATGATTAAAAATTTTTTAGTCGAATTACGGTATTTTAATTATATCGTCTGATTAGATTGGTGATGAAATGTGGGTGGGTATCGTTGAAAAAACGTAAATAGTTTGTAATGATGGCCATTTCCCTTAGTTATATGTACTTGAAATGCTACGATTTAATCACTTTGTTAACTTAGATCCTCTCTATCAATTAAGTAAATTTCTAGCTCAGTCACAATCAGACTTTAAGTTACAGTCAAAATGGATGAACATAACGTCGATACAAATAGAAAAAGAAATTTATCATACAATCGGATTTTTAACTCATAACTCGAAACCTGCTTGCTGCATAAATTTCGTAGGCATTATTAGAAAACTGAACCTCTGGGCTTGCTCATAGGAGAAGTTCCAAACGATCTGCAATAGTTCAAACAGTGATCACAAGTGTTTCCTCGTATTTCATAAAATGTAAAAAGTTTCTGCAGAATTTTTGTTCTGGCTGCGTTATAAAATAAAAAATGGCATACACATGAACTTGTCTGATAAAATTGACAGCTTAATCCCTTTTGATGAGTCTGAGTTTACAAAGAAATTCAAATTTTATTACTGTATTTCTGTCTGTTGTTCTTTTAAGTGTCAGAAGTTGCAGATCATCCTGTAACATACTGTGAAATTCTAACTATTCAGAGCTTTTTAAAAAAATCGACGTTATTTGCAGTTTGGCTCAAAAAGAATTAACAGTAACACATATCAGCACATATCTGTAGCTTGCGTAGAAATTAAATTATAATTGAGTAAGATGTAGCGTTAACCGCTTTTATTGACAAGTTGTAGTAAAATAATCAGGGGAAATAAGTAAAGCAATCTAAACCGGCATTCTCTTAGGAAATCTCAGGTAAAAGTTTAGGAAATAGTGTAAACTTTTTTCGACTCTTTATTTTGCTACACTATTTTTAGCTGCAATCAACTATAGTCGACCATGGTAATGCCCAGGGTTCCAGCTTTCAAAAACGAGGAATATTGGCAACAACTACGGTGAAGTTAATAAGATATAAGGAACCATTTTATGGCAAAAACAGCTTTTCCAGTTTTTATCGATTACTTTAAGGTTCATGCACATGCAGCTTCAGTAAAGATAGGTACCAGTTAATTAATTTCCTTTTTTTTTTTTGATTTTTATGAATAAAGTTTTTAAGTTGCCAAACGAAATGAGAGGTGAGTAATACTTATACACTGATAAGCAAAGTACCGACATTAGAAGCCAGCTTAGCCTCCCAACGGTTTTTCTTCGGCATCTCATTGACAATATAGTGGATCGAAAGGTAGGGCTGAAATGTCGACAAACTTAATTCCAAAATTTGTTTCTTTTTGCATATATTAAATTTGGAATCATATATCAAGTACAAATCAGATTAGACAACTGGAGTATTGTCTTTTACGCGAGATCCTCTAATAAAATAAACACCCACTATTTAACGCGAATTGGACAAACCATATTGTTGTGGATTGATTAACTTTTGTTGTTAATAGGCATAGGCAAACGCTCTATAGACACTCTCTCAGGATTTACAATGTTTGTTATTAATCATTAATATGATATATCTCATAAAAATTAAACGTCTACCTGTTCGTAGCAAGATGAAAAGATTTTTACGCAAGGTTTCATGCCCGAAGATACCCTATTCTCTAATCAAGCTTGCTTTTTGGATTGTTCTACGGAGTTGCGTCTTATGACGTTTAAACTCCCTTCGGACTAATTTTTTTCTACAAGACGTCGAGAAAAAGTCCAGAAAAATTAACTTTAAGACTCCAAGATTGTAATAGGTCGCGGGAATACCTTTCGAAGTAATATTAAACATATACCCAACCATGGCCCAAGCTGATAAAGGGGTCCAGGGTTTAGTGGGTGAGAGTCCCACAGTACCGGACAAAGCACAGTAAACGATGTCCGGTCTGCATAATGCATTTGCCCTTAACCTCCAAAAAAAAAAAGGTCGCGGGAATACCGGCACACGGACCTAAAGAGTCTGCTCTTGCTAATTGCTAGATAATAGCTATTGGTCTAGTACGAAGTTTCTGATGTTAGTATTATGTAAACACCTAGGTTGTATTAATAGAAACAATTTACCTACAAGGAACTAAAACCTGTCAGTATGACTGGAATATGATTAGGTATATGAAGACATCTATGAATTTCGTAGAAGTGCTACGATGAATTGGTTAACGGGCAGACCGAACTCATTGCTGCCACTAGTTCGTGACAAGCAAAACTTTAACTTGGGTTGCCCACAATACGTTTTTAATGTTGCCAATCATCATCTTTAAGAAATAAGTTAAATAGTAAGATTTAAACCGTTTGAAAATAACCAATATTTTAGCAGACGACAAAGCGTCTCTTCGTTATAGCGGGAAGTATGTCAGGTGTTCTGTAGTTGGATGATAGCATTTAAGAAATTTAACCCTCTCCTAGTCTTTGATGGGGTAACGATTTGTCAGTTTCAGCACAGCGAAAAATTTTTGTTTTACCAAACTAGCATAAACTGTCAGGAGTCTTCAACGCGTCATATTTTCACGAAAAGATATCTAAAATTAACACAATTGTCTTGGTGCGTTATACAGCTAAGTATTTTATTATTGTTAGCGCCACCTTTTGCTTTTTCCATTACGGGAGTAAAAGCAATGGTCTTGACTGTCAAGTTCAGATGAATCTACAGTGTGTTTCTGTAGCAAATAACCCTCAATAATACTGCATAGTAAATAGAAAACGAACTTCTTATTAGGTTTTTCTAAAAATTGTTATTTATTGTAATTTTTATAATTAATCACTTTTAAAGTTAGCAAGTAGTATAAACTTACACGAACTTAAACGAACATACGGTGAAATCTAATTACTACAGTCTATAGAATATATATAAATAGCCTAACCTGTAAAAGTAATTCAAGATTTGCTTGAAATAAATATCAAAGTCAAAAGGTTCAATATGCGTCAGTTATTTAGAAGAGACCTTTGGGGGTCATACAGCGTACCGTGCACTGTGTGTTCTGTACCCAATTCAGCATAACGATTATATCGAGTAATTGTAATGTAACTGGCAATATTATGAAAAGCAAAATGTCCGAAATTTACTATCATCATTGATATTATTAGTTGTTATCTGTTATTATTTTCGTTATTACCATTATGATAAAGTCTCTCATACATATTACTTTATTTGACTGAACTGCAATGCTTTAGTGGTGAGTGCGAAATGATATAGCGGTCTATTATACGACACGTGTTATACGATTGTTTACACGACAGAATTGTAGAACAAACTTCCTTATCATGTACACTACAATAGTATTGTAGTTTACGATCAAGACTAGCTGATTTTAATGCATTACAAGTTTTAAGTCGCTTGTTAATGGTGATTTGATTGGTATAGGAATGTGCTTGACGAGTATGATCAACTGGAGCCCGGAGAAGTTAGAGTATATAATGGGATAGGTCAAGCTTCAGACGACAGTCCCAATTGTGGTTTATTTGCTGTTGTTTGCTCTTCTAAACTGCCACTTCTGCTGCGTTGTTTTTTCATTTGCATTGCTACTCCTAGATAAGACACACACTGCTTAAAAGAACTTAATCTCTAAAGAAACAAACGACTCCAATCACTCTAAGCGTAAGTGATTACACTGGAATAACTGTAATCGTGAGGCAAGTTAGGGCCATTTTCGAAGATTTCGTAATACGTATAGCAAACCTAACTTCGTTTGTATTACAATAGAGTAGAACGTCACTCTATTACTAGATCCTAACCAACTTTTTAGTAACGTTCACGTTCTGATCTTGCGAAATAATATTTCACTTCTGTATATCAATACTATGTATCAATTGTAGATTCATTTCCAGAATCGGTTTAAAAGCTTTCTTTTAAACAAACCAATAATGGGATGCCGCATCCGAGACTGAAAAGAGGAAATCTACAAAGGGACCAACAGGAAGACATAGACCCTTATAGAAAGCGCAGTAATAGCTGCGACGGTACATCGAAGAATCCGTGGATTTTTCATTCTAACATCTATCACAACGATCCCCCCTGAGGAAAATACTCAAAAGTTTCGTTTTTCTCAATTACAACAATATTGACCTTACCTTAAGAATAATATCTGCACGAATATGTAGTTAATATTCTTACATACACTACTCGGAATCTTTCGTTGATTTATAATGGATTTCGAATGGGATTTGTTCCATGGATACCTACTTTTCAGTCCACACACAACCAGTGTGGACCAGTATCAATTTTTTTCCAAAGACATGTTTGTTTTTCCTTTGAGGTGTTGAATCAAAAGAAAAAAATACGTCCTGTTAATTACAAAATGCCGCAGCTGACGCAAATACGATAAGCATTATTATTACTCGAAACTAAGTGCGATTGCAATATCTAATTGCATTAAATAATGGCCTATTTTATTGTCGCCTGGGCTACTAATCCACTTAACGCTATTATAAATGTATAAAACCATAGCGAGAAAAAGCTTAATAAATAAATTTCGACGTTCGCCCACTATGTAACGTAATGACGTCCTCACCACCGTGTAGCCGAACTTTCACAAACAAAGTTCTGATGTTTCGTGTTATGTGGAGGCTATTCACATATAGCCCCAAAAGGTTATGGACATTCATGAAAAATTTTGGCCCAACAACCCGCTCTGGGTTACCTTCCAGTCATGCCCTTTCATTTTGATATGCTCTGCGTCGTCCCATTTTGCCATCTTCGAAATACATTTGAAACTGTTAAGCCAAAATTTACCTCACCTATTTTTAGAAAAAAGGACTTTATTATTTCAGGCGGCTGAGTGCAGCTCTATTCTCCTGAACGGCAAACTAAATTAATAATAATAGGTAGTCTAACAATAAACTATACGAAAGCTACTTACTGGTTCTTATGCAGAAGCTTGAATATAATTTGCCAAAAAGATGGCTTTCGAGGCACGCTAAAGAAGTATAATTTACTTTCCAACTATCACAATCGTTTGATGATCAATTGAGATTCTTTACTCTTAGTGTAATGAACAGGTCTGTTCTGCTTCGATGGTGACAAACGAGATTGTTAAACCATAACACAGGAAGCCTGATACTGATGTTTTATTTCTGCTTGTATATATGTACACCTATTGTAGTCACCTTGAAATGCGAAGTAGAGTTGCGTTGAGGTTTCGAAGTGAAGACAAATGCTCAATCGGCTCCTTTTAACTACCAGTGACGAAAATTTTATAAAGTTTCACTTAAAACGCGCCTAATTGTAATATTCTAGAATGCGTTCGGACTCCACCGTTTTCATAATAGAGAAAATTTTCAATAGTCCGATTATTGCCTCGTACAGTGTAATTTCGCTGATGTTTGGAGTTGGATACAGGGTGGATACAAGACGAATAACACATGTTGAAAACGCTGTTTTTCTTTTCATTACAAGTTGTGGTGAAATTTCGAGTCCCAGAAATCTCCAAAGC